GTGGTAGAGGGCTTTCCTGGCATGCTGGAGACCCTGGATTCAATCCCCAGCACAGCAAAACAAAACAAAGAAAACACCTTTAGGGCTCATAACCAAAATGTCCAGAACCTTTCTTCCTCAGCTATCCTGCCTTAATTCCAAACCCTCCCTGCTACACAAATTTCCTTCCACTGAAGCCACACAGCATTGTTCAAGCAGTTTTCTCTAGCCAGGACCAGCAACTAGGAGACTCTCACAAAATATTGGTTGGTTGAGTGAGTGAATGATCACTTTTCTCTCCTTCAATTCTCAGTTCAGTTCTGACATCTTCTAAGAAGCACTGTCAGTTCCAAACTCTAGTCCTCAGGGATTTCTCTGTTTTCTGCATGCAAGCATTTACAACACCATGCAGTCCTCAACAGCTTGGTGTCCCTAACTGGATTGCAAATTCTGCAGGCCCCAAATGAAATATTTTTCCTGAAATTCAGCTCCCAGCACTATGTTAGAAGACCTATGTCTAGTTGCAAGACTGCACTGAGTAAGCTTTGTGACCCTGGAAGAGTCATTGATCTTTCCAAAATTGTTTTTGCATCTTTTTCAACAAAGAGAAGCAGGGTGCAGTGGTACACCCTTGTAATCCCAGCAACCCAGGAGGCTGAGTCGGGAGGATCTCAAGTTTGAGGCCAACATCAGCAATTTAGCAAGGCCCTAACCAACTTAGTGAGATCTTGTCTCAAAATAAAAAATAAAAAGGGCTGAGGATATAGCTCAGTGGTAAAGCGCCCCTGGATTCAATCCCCAGTACCAAAAAAATAAATAAAAATAAAGAAGAAGGGCTGGAGGTGTAGCTCAGTGATACAGCCCTTGCCTAGTATGTTAAAACCCTGGGCTCAATCTCCAGTACTGCAAAATAAGTAAATAAATAAAAATAAAAACATGCCCCTGGGGTCCTTTTTTATTTTCTGAAAATCTCTCTTGGGACTGCCGTCCTCACTGCTGGGGGCATATGCCCCAGCCCCTGCACCACCCCTGCTGCAGCCTGGGCAAGGGGAAGTGGGGGCACAGTACCTGTAATTATTAAACATGAATTCAATTAAGAAAGAAAATAAAATAAAAACAGAGTCACCTGCCAGCCCACTTCACAAGGTTGTTATAACAATCCAGTAGAATAATAACGTGTGTGAAGAAGCACTAGGAATTGCAACCTGTTCTGGAAATGTGACACAGGGGTCTTATAAGAGGCTCAACTGTGTGGACTGACTAAAGAAGCATGAACCAACTCTTTGAAGATCTACCAAATTCAGGCATATCTTAACCCTCAAAGCACTATTTTAGTTAAGAAATCAATACTAACAACTTTATCTTCTCGGTGATCATTGGTTATGTGTGTGTGTATATGTGTATATATATACACATATACACACACACATACATATACACACACACATATACACACACACACACACACACACACATCATCATTAGCCCAATTTACGAGAAAATTGTGCCACTCTCAATTACATATTCTGTACTAGTTCCAAGGGAAAACATGTGATCTATGCTCCAACTGAGCTGCACATTTCTTCTGTCACACCCAGTAGTTATGGAGCATGTGTGCAATTCAATCAAGATATTTGATGGGCCTTTTGGGTTGAAAGTGGTTCCTTTGTCTGGTCCTAGACTGTAAGTGTAAGGTGGGAGATACAAGGAGGCCCCCTTGAGGAGAAAGCAGAATTGAGAAAGGCTCAATCCAGGTATTTTTTTTTTTTTTTAAGACCCTGGATCCAGCCATGCCTGAAGCTAGTGCTCATCTGCAAGTCAATAAATTCCTTTCTTCTCACTTTTTTCTTTTTTTTAGAGAGAGAGAGAGAGAGAATTTTAATATTTATTTTTTAGTTTTCGGTGGACACAACATCTCTGTTTGTATGTGGTGCTGAGGATCAAATCATGGCCGCATGCATGCCAGGCGAGCGCGCTACCGCTTGAGCCACATTCCCAGCCCTCTTCTTCCCACTTTTACTCCCAATCAGTTAAGAATTTGTGCCCAGAAAGTCCTGATTAAGTCAATAAATAATAGTCCTAATTCAGCCCATAAATAATAAAATTCATAAGACGTTTTAATAGGAAAAAAACTATTTAGCTGGGAGCTGTGGCAGATACCTATAATCTCAGCTATTTGGGAGGCTGAATCAGGAGGATCCCAAATTCAAGGCCAGCCTTAGAAACTTAGTGAGATTCAAAATAAAAAATTCAACACCCAGTACAGCTAAAACCCTTTTTTAAAATGAATGATACAGTCCACTAAAAGATGATAAAGGCTAAGTAGAATAAAAAGGAAGGAGTACAGGGAATGCTAAGTTATTTCTAAATTTTTTTAAAGTGAAGGAGAGTTTGTTCACCCAACTTCAGCTCAAAGAGATTAAAAATAAGGTCATGGGGCTGGGGTTGTATTTCACTGGTAGAGCACTTGCCTTGCATGTATGTAGGAGGTACTGGGTTCCATCCTCAACACCACATAAAAATAAATAAATGAATGAATGAATAAATAAATGTATTAATATAAAAAACAACAACAACAAGGTCATCTAGCAAGTGGAAGAAGCAGAATTGAAAAAGGGGAGGTGGGAGGTCTTTTGACCTCGCCCAAGTCATACTTCCTCCCAGGCCAGGAATCTCTTAACTGGTAAACTCACTTTATCTTTCCTGGGCTTCACTATTAATGACCTTTTGGAAGTTTTGTTTTATTTTGGGTTTGTTTATTTGTTTTGTGGTACTGGGGGATTGAACCCAAGGGTGCTGTACCACTGAGCTACACCATTAGCCATTTTATTTTATTTTGAGACAGGGTCTCGCTAAGTTGCAGAAGCTGGCCTCAAATTTGTGATCCTCCTACCTCAGTCACATGAGTTGCTGAGATGACAGGCATGTGCCACCACAAACACCTGGAATTGTCTTGACTTCAGTAACATTATATTGTCCTAGTTCTTTCCCTTCCCAATTAGTTCTGCTATTTTTTGGCTTTTCTTCTCACCACTTGAGTCACCCAATAGAAGCCATTGTAGGATCATCATATTGAACTATATCAGGGAATGCCATTCAGATCATAGTTTTTACAAATGGCCCCATTTGGAGTTGTGCAGTGCACAGCCTGAGCAGCTGAACATAACAGTTCTGTACTTGCTGCACTTCTCTTATCTATAATACTGTCTTCGTTTCCCTCCCCTCTGCAGAGTCTTCCCAAAACTTCTTGTGCAGCTTCCGCCCTGCACCATTGGAGAATGTAGTGGAGCAGCCTGAATTAACCATCTCCCCTTGCAAATTACACTGTGCCTCTCGTTGCCCACAGGCTTCAGTGGGACAGAGGTAATGGTTATATTTTAGCAGTATTAATGCACAAACTTATAAATATATAAGAATCCCCTTACTAAATTGTCTCTCTGGTTCTGATTGATGTCTAAAAGTTTCTGGAAGCCAGGCCTAATGACGCATGCCTAATCCCAGGAACTCAGGAGATTGAGGCAGGAGGATCGAAAGTTTGAGGCCAGCCTGGACAATTTAGTGAAAACCTGTCTCAAAAAGTGAAAAGAGCTGGAGTGTAACTTAGTAGTAGAGCACCCCTAGGTTCAATCCCTATTACCACCAAAATTAATGTTTCTGGATTTAGTGAAAGGCAACTTGGGAGTTTCTTGTAATTCTAAAACCTACCATTTGATTTCTTTACTTTTCTTCTTCTCCTTTTCCTTCTCCTTTTTTATATTGCTTTTTGCGTGTGTGCCAGGCTAGGTAGATGTATAATTCATTCCCCACAACATTATTACTAAATTCATCTGTGTAAGGTTCAAGGAGGTAATGTGATCTAAGGTCACACAGTAACTGGCAGAGGTAGAATTTGGACCAGGTCCATTGGACTTCAAAGCCCATGTACCCTCTGCTCTACAAACTGCCTCCCAGTATCACCTAGCTCTGGGGTAGTACAGGGTGATGTTAATTAAAACTAGCATTTATATTTCAATACAGTTTTGAAAACCTCCTTTTGTATGCACAATTTCAATGCACAATTAATGCTCGTAATAACTCTGGGAGGTAAGTAGCAGTGTTAACCTTAGACTTAGCTACACTCTCAAAAGCAAAGTATAAACTGACAGATACAAAGGAAAAGCCTGGATTCAAAAGAGTCTTAATTCTTAATTCCTCATTCTTGGTGCTGCTCTGCCTCAGTGTTCTTTGATATAGAACATGTAAGCTGGGGACTGAAGGGTAGGGACAAGTTTTTTTTCCTTTCAGTTTTGCTTCTAACAGTCTGCAGCCCGTCGGCACTGAAATGGTCGTTCACTGCTGTAATTAATGTTTAATGAGCACGTAATGTGTGCCAGAAACTGGAAATAACAACTGGGAGCGGAGCGAAGGCCGTCGGGTTCCCCCACTCAAGAAGCTCGCATTCCAGCCGAGGGGACAGGGGACAGAAGACGGGGAGGTGAATTTACTAGAGTGGTCACAGGTGGTTCTGAGAAGGAAGGAGTGCACGCGTGCAAGATGAGCAACCCGCAGACCACTCATGATTCCATGTCAGCCTTATTTGGCGTTGGTTGGCCAGTCTGAAGAAGGACGCCGAATACCCCAGGCATCCTATGTAGTTGACGCTCACGGGCAGGCACGGAGGAAGCAAATCGCAGACTCGCATTCAATTCTTTTTATTCCTCTGACCTTGCCTTTGCTGTCAGGGTCACACACACCCCATTGCCACACCCTTGCTTCTCCTTCCGGACAGTTCCACACACGCATGCGCAAGAGAAACTCTCACTCCCCGTGGAGGGCGTGGGTCCCACTACACTACGCGTGCGCTCCC